TGCTAGCTATGTCCTTTGCCATGCAGAAGCTCTGCAACTTTATGCAATCCCATTTGTCCAACCTTTCTTTGATTTGTTGTGTTTCCGGGTCTCTATTCAGGAAATTTTGGCCTGAGCCAAGGAGACCTAGGGTTTCTCCTATTCCATCCTGTAATGTTTTCAGAGATGACACATTTTCTTGATCCACTCATCCATCTGGGATGATTCCATCTCCTAGCTCTGATGAATAATTCTGCAATGATCATGGTTGTGCTAATGGCTTTCCTGTAATCTTGCTTGTAGTCTATTGGATATGTGCCCGGGAATGGAATTGCTGCATTATAATCTTTGAGCCGTAATTGGAAGAATATTTCTTCCTAAAATTGGAAAGCTTTTCAAGAGACTTTAAATACCATTTTATGTTGATCAATAAATTTCAGAAACAGTCAACTTTGGTTTTCACTTCTCTAGCGGTGAACATTGATCGTGTCAGAAATACTCTCTGCTTTAACTCCTATGTCATGGCACTATTTCTTCATTTCCCCAATGGCTAAATCCTCTCTAAGCCACCATCATTTATCTACTGAATTATCCTAATAACTTCTGTGTATTTTCTAATCAGCAGCCCAAGTAAACTTAAAAGAATATCAGGCTGGGCATTCTACTGCTTTCTTTCCTGGTTTCCCTTCACACAGAACGAAGCCATGGTGCCCCTCCCAACCCTACCCCCTGCCTCACCCTCCCTGCTTCCGCCTGACAAGCCTCCTATCAGCTCCTATCATACAACACCAGTATTCCTGCCTAGGGGGCTTTACACTTACTGTTCCCTGTGCCTAGAACAATCTATCTTCCATAAAGTGTTTCCCAATTATTCCTTCCCTTCACTCGTTTCCTCTCAGATTTAACTGACTTAGAAAGGCCTATCCCCAAGCACTCTGTCAAAAACTGACTCCACATCATCTTCATGCCTTCACCCATGTCATTTTCCTTTATTGCTCTTACTACACTTTGATTAGTTTTCTACTTTCGGAATTATTTAATTTTTAATGTTTAACAATTGGGTGCTGATTTTATGCCATGGGGT